CTTTCAGGATGCCCACGGCTCGCTTGTACAGCTCGGGGTCCTCCAGCACCTCCTTCAGGGGGTCCGGCACGGCCAGCGTGCTGAAGCTGCCCACCTTCCACGAGGGCAGGCTGTCCCTGTTGATGCAGTCCAAGGTCAGCAGGGCCTTCCCGCTGTAGAGGGCGGGGGCCGAGCGCAGGGCCGGGGGGGCGCGCCAGGCGCTGGTTGGGGATGCACAGGAGCTGCACCAGCTTCTGGTAGAAGCGGCCGTCCGTGGCCTCCAGGTAGGTCAGGTGGCTGAGGTGCAGCGGGACCCAGCAGGGCCACAGCAGGACGGGAAGGACCAGCTTCCTCTCCAGGCAGGAGCCCACGAGGGACAGGTCGGCCTCCAGGAGGCACCAGGGGCTTTGCACAAAGTCCTCGCTCGGCACCAGTAGCACCTTCTGACTCTGCTGGATGCAGCCTGCCATGTTCTCCAGCATGTTTCTGCCGGGCGTGAAGTCCCGCTTGTGCAGGCACACCCTCAGCCCCAGGAGCTCGGCCTCCAGGTGGCCAGTGAGCCCATGGGTCCACACGGCGTCCACGCTGCTATAGCTCACAAACAGGTGGAACTGATCCCCCGGAGCAGGAAGCCATGCATGCTTCCCCAGGTCTGCCTCTGGTCCCTCCAAGGGGGAGAGGGTGCTCCCCCGCAGCGTCCAGGCATCCGGGAGGCAGAGGCTGCTGCTGTGCTTCTTGGGCACCAAGGACCTCCATTGTGGTGCCCACCCTGCCCGCTCCCCACGCCCGTCCTCAGAAGAGGCCTGGGAGCAGCCGGGGTGCTTCTGCCCCAGACAGAAGGACTTCTGCAGCCAGCGCTTTCTGAGCTATCTCTGCTAAATCTGGTCACTGTGGGCTCAGGACGACTGCTCACGCACGACCTCGCAGAAACAGGCCAGGCAGTCACCGCACGCCTGCCCAAAGGGGCGCGGAATGGGACAGGGCGGCCCGGGGCGGGGCAGGGGCCCTACTTAACCTTTTTGCACAGTACACAGTTGTTGAAGAAAGATGAGACTATCTTGAAAAAATTCAAATTGTACATAAAACGTTATAGTCTTGTTTCAGACTTGTTGTTCATGTTGTTTTCTACTTCTGATCTGACAAATATGCAACATTCAAACCTTTGATTCATTTATTAACTACTGGGGACACAAGTGGAATTTCTGGGTCAGAAAGGATGTGCTCTTAGAGCCGCTTACAAATATTGCTCCGTTTTTCCCCCAAATCTACCAGTGCAGTGCAGGTGGGAGTCATGTGGATTTTCATTATACACACCTCCCAAATGTGATCTGGCCTCCAAAATTTGCCATCATTGTTGGCTTTGTAATTGACTTTATCCTGTGCAGGATAGGGGAGGTGGGGATACAAATTTATCCCAATACCTGGGGTATTGATGTAGTCTTGGGCACAAATCATTAACTGAGCATGGCCATCAAAGTCCAGTCAAGAGTCCATGGCCAAGATGGGGAACCATACCTGATGAGGGATTATGAGGCACCAAGGAGTAGTTGCTTCAAAGGGTTTGATTCACTTCTTTCAAGGAGTTGAAAGGCTGTCATATCAAGAGAAAGTAGATTCACTTTGTGTGCTTATAAGGGCAGAAAAAGTGACACAGGTTGGTGTTTCAGAAAAGCAAGATTCAGTTTAATGTGAGAAAGTCCCGTCTAACATAACAGTCTGAAAATAGATTGGGTACCCCTGTTCATGTGAGTCCTCCTTCCCTCTACATCCCTGGAGATATTCCAGCAGGGGCCATGTGGATGAAGAGTCAAGGTGTGCCTATGAAGGAAATTTATCATAAGGATTTTTATTTGAAGACCTTTAAAAAAACTTCAATACGACAAGGTCATGAACTTGAAATCACAGCTCTGGTTACAATAGTGTATCCCAAAGCCCAATGAAATATTCTGTAAACACCATTTATTCTCTTAATGTCTGTTAGTGCAAGGTAGTAGCTATTAAACTTTCTAATCTCACATTTTCTATACTCCATGCATTGGTGAATAAGACTTTAGTCTTTTGACCATCTTTCACAGTTGGTCAAAACTTTGATTTTTTTTATTTTGATCAAAAAGTTGATCAAAAACGTTGACAGTTTTTGTAGTGACTCTGTGGAGAGATGGTTTTTCTCATTGCTTTTGTTTTCCTTGTATTTTACATATTTGTTAACCCTGGGTCTCTCAGACCATAAGACTCGTACATCTGGTGAAAGGTAAAGGGGTGGTTTTCATGTAATTTTCATCCTTCAGTAGCCTTTTCATATTAAAAAATAATCTAGCACTGTTTCCAGCACTTTCTAAGACCAATCATGTTTGTAGTGTTTCTGAATCCTGCTACGTTTAACTTTGCATCTTTTCTAGCAAGAAAATCACAACCATTTGAACTATACCTTTAACATTTCTTGACATGTGTTTTCCTTATTTCCATATTGTTATTTTGTGAAGTAAAAAAAAAAAAATTACTAGGGAAGCAACAAAATTGATAAGAATATGTGGGGAAATTCTCCATCTGATTTTAATGTTTCTAAAACTGAATTGATTAAATAATAGTCCAATCTCTTACCCCTGGACCATAAAGAAGTCTGAGTGCCAAAGAACTGATGCTTTCAAATTGTGGTGCTGGAGAAGACTCTTGAGAGTCCCTTGGAAAACAAGGAGATCAAGCCTCAAACCAGTCAATTCTAAAGGAAATCAATTCTGAGTATTCATTGGAAGGACTGATGCTGAAGCTGAAGCTCCAGTACTTTGGCCACCTGATGTAAAGAGCCAACTTACTGGAATAGACCCAGATGCTGGGAAAGATTGAGGGCAGGTGGGGAAGGGAATGATAGAGGATGAGATGTTTGGATGGCATAATCAACTCAATGGAAATGAGTTTGAACAAGCTCTGGGAGGTGCTGAAGGGCAGGGAAACTGGCATGCTACAGTCCATGTGGTCACAAAGAGTCAGACAGGGCAGAGCAACCGAACAACTACTTGCCCCTCAAAGCATGATCTGGGAAGCCACCATCAACTGGCCACTTAATAAGAAATGCAGACTCTCTAGTTCCCCACTAACATTCCTGAATCAGAATCTGCATTTTATTAATAACAAGTGGACCTTCCCACAGTACCTGGTAGACTTTCCCAGGTGACACAATGCTGCAGAACCTGGGGGAATAGTTATTTTTCACCTTGGTGATTTGGATACCTGTTAATTCTCCTGGCATTATGACTTGGTTTGTTTACCTGCATGAGCCAATTTAATCCTGAGATTCACCCTCTAAAGCAGGCATTCATAGAGGCTCAGAAAAGTTGCTACTTGGACCTATAAAGGTATCACTAAAAGACAGTTTCTGAAGTCTGTATTTCCTATGTCTGAGACAAGAAAGTTGAGGCTCAGCCTCTAATGCTGGCCTGGCCAAGAGTGATAGTCTCCAGTGGCCTCAATTCACCCTGTGCTTCCGGTGAGCCGGGTGCCCTGTAGAGAACAGCAGAGTCACTCATCGTGGCAGTGGAAACTCAGCCCCCAGCCACTGGCTTTGTCTGAAGGGCCTTGGAAGGAAGTCACCTGTGACAGAGGTCAGGAAGAGCACCTAAAGATGCCATGTCTCACCTGTAGGCTGTCTTCCCAAAGCCTCAATTATGAAAGAAGTTCAGAAGCCTAGGTAATATATTTCTCAAGAGTTGCTACACCAAAGTAGTCTCTGTGAATGTGTGTGTGTAGCTTCAGTTTCTTCACATTTAATCATAAAAAGACTACTGTTAACTGAAAAAGAAATAGTACAACCTAAAAATTGAGAATTATGCTTTATTCGGTGGACAAAACTAAGGATTTATGCCCAGGACACAGGCTCTGAGATAACTCTCAGATACTGTTCCAAAGAGACAAGAGGCAAGGGGAGGAAGGATATATAGGCATTTTTGCAACAAAGACCAGGTAGTCAGAGCATCAAATGATTCCTGTGAATAAAAGAAAATAAGATTCTTCCAGTTAGGGAATTTAGCACTTTTCTGTATATGGGAGGATACAAGAGTCTGGGCTCATTGAAATCATTCCTTTGAGATGCATCTCAGCTATTTGGGGTCAGTATCCTATGTTTTCTCACCCTGAGTTTTCTCAGGGTGTACCATCGGAAGATGGCTGCAGGGTCCTTATGACTGCAGCATCCTTTGTTTACTGATATGACAGGTGGCATTTTTACTTCACACTAGATATTTATTAGAAATTCTTATCTTCCAAACCCACAGCCTCTAGGATATACTGTTTTCATGGATTCTGAGTAGGTAAATAAAGTTAGTGATGATAAGCAATTTTTAGTCATTAATCGATATTTTAGTTTTTGTGCCTCCATTCCTCTGTTTTTCTTGATTGCTTAAGCATGATTATGTTTATCATACCCAGTACACCTCTGGAAATAAAGACTTGTTACACTGGTAGTAAACTCACAACCTGGATATGGCAGGAATCCACAATTTCCCCAGATTTCCCAAAATGTGAAGTTCTGTGAACCATCTTGAGGAAAAAAAATTATAGAACAGTTATAGTTATGTTTATTTAAAGAATATCACTTAAAATTAATTTGATAATTTTGCTTTTAACTAAAGCAAAATCAGAGTAACAGGATTTAACTGAAGTATTTTGAAACTGGTAGTTTACCAACTTGGCACTTGGTGAGTGTCTCAAGTGGGATGGATGTAAAAGAAGGAAACTTTCTCAAATCCACCAGCCCTTCCCGATACAGCCATGAGATTTCCCCCACCAATTCTTTTAATAACACCTCAATTTCAGTTTCCCAACCACGGTCATTTGGTATCTTTGCTTCTCTTTAGGTATCATCCTGTTTTCTCTTTCTTCACCGCTGACATTGGTGTGTTTCATATGAATTTATAATATATTAAATATATATAATTTTAAAATATTGTTTTGATTTGATCATGGATTGTTCCTCTTACAGGGTCTGTCTGGGGAAATGAGTAATTTCTCATATCCTTTTCATACAGGAAGAATTTTAAATCGTTTCTCCAAAGACACTGGGCATATGGATGACTCGTTGCCCCTGACATTTCTTGATTTCATCCAGGTAATGTACCAGTCCTGTCAAAGTTCCCCCAGAGAATGGTAGAGTACCTGTTTCTCAAGACCTTTTCACAGGGGCTGAGGGTGGGCCTTTCAGCCTGGCAGTGTATCCTGTTACCTTGAGCAAAGGTCATGTTTGTAAGAGAAAGGGGAGGCTGTGATTGGGAGGCTGAGTTAACACGAGTGACACCTGGGCCAGGAGTGGCTACACAGTCACTTCAAGGTTGGTCTAAAGCAGTGACATGCTGGGTAAGTGGTTATCCCTCTGCCTTCCAGGTATCTCACTGGATTCCCTTTACTGTGAGCACATTTCTTATGCTCACAGAAACAATCACCTCTCATGGAAAGATGACCTAGAGGAACTAAATTATGCATTGTATTACCACAAAGAACAATTATTTACTATACTGCTTTGTTTTTTTTTTTTTAATAAGCTAAGTGTGGTTACAAAGAAAAGATTAGTAAAAATAAGGTGAAAATTATACTTGAACAAAGACAATAGAGAGCAGTTATTGAAGATACAAAGTCTTAAAGCCAGTAATTCAATTAGAGAATGAAAGTCATCTAAGAAAATGTTTTTGTAGGCAGCTTTTCTTTTCACATGTTAATTGATTTTCTTAAGGTGTCTTTAAGGGAAAAAAGACAAATACAGGAATATCTTATATCCAGCCTTTGTTTTGTCTGTCAACTTGAGGTGCTAAAGAAATGATGTTGGATCATGTCATCTCTCATCCTCACATTCAGTATCATTGCTCATGTGGGATGTTTTTTCTATTATTTCATTTTGTCTACTTTTCAATGATTCAGTCTGTGCAGATTTTCTTCATTTCCAAGTGTTAATTTTGCAAATGAAATGCATTTATCAAAACATGCACAGAGAAATGCAGCAATGAATATGACTTAAGACAGCACAGCCTATTGGTAAAGGCTTCTATGGTTGACCAGTGTGAAGTAAGCTGAGACTCAGAGGCAGTGCACTTTTGCTATGAAGATGTCTGATTTTTTTCTCTTTTGCAGACTTATTTTATAAATAAGTCCTTTTGGGTTTAGCTATATGATTTATCCCCAGAAACAATCTTTCAATATAGCAGTGCCACGTTTTGACTATGATTGCTAATTACGTTAAGATTTTGTGAAATCTTTGTGTTTCTTTGCTACTGCTAGCTGGGCCAAGGTTGAGTTTCCAAAGCTGTTTGGTCCACTGTGTGCTTAGCACATGGTTAGCTTCACAGTCAGAATCTGTCATGTATCTTTGCATGATGTAAAGAGGGACAGAGAGAGATGCTACCTGATTTCAGTGTAAAACATTCTCAGTTGTGTGAGAAGAGAAAATCGAATCTCACTGATTTCCAGTCCCAGCTCTTCCACTTGTAGTTTATCTTGAAGTTTGGGACCTCCAGGTGGATGCATCCTGTAGGTCATTGAAAGTAAGAGTCTGGTATTTGAGGGAGAGACCTAGGATGAGTGTGGCACCTGAGTATTGTTTACTGAGAGGGTTGTAGCTGGATTGATGAAGATGGATAAGGTTGCCTAGAGAGAATGAAGCTTTTTTAGGGGCCAAGATCAGAAGCTTATGGAAGCCTCAATATTCAGAGAGGAAGCAGAGAGGGAAGGGAAGCAAAGGAGATAGACAATGAACAGCAAGGAAAAGAGGAGGAGATAAGTTAGGGAACTGAGGATGGACATGTCTGTTCAGTGCAAAGGAGGTGAGTCCAAGGTAAGTTGTCAGCTGATTCGGAATCAGGAGGTGTCTGGTGAGCCAAGGAGCAGATTTCAGATGTGAGGAAGCCAGCGTGCAAAGGGCTGCAAATCCAGGAGGCATGGAGGGAGTTGAGGTGAAGGCAGGCTACTCCTGGAAGTAGTCTGACCAAAAGAGAGAGGTCCATCTGGAACGTAGAGTCAAGGAGGTGTTGCTGGTTTTTGAGGTTTGTAGTTTGTGAGTTGGGGGTGTGTATGAGATGGTGAATGGTATTCTATCCCTCCTTCCCTTCATCAGACAGGGGTTAGAGTTGAGGCCCTCAGGTACAGCAGTGAGCCAGGCATGAAACCCTCACCTCAGGGGTCTCCACCTCTCCCAGGGGAGGAAGACATTCAGAGATTCACCCCTTGCTGCCTTTGGAATCCTAATTGTGCAAGTGGAAGGCCTTGAAGGCAGACTGGATGTGGAGGCTGGAGGCAATGAGGGAGCCTGCCTCAGGAGGTGGGCGGAGCTTCTAGGAGGTGACCTTTGGTCCCAGATGAGAAGAAAAGGCCACTGTAGATGGTGAGGCAGGAGGGGTCCCCTAAAGCTGAGTTCCTACATAGGTTCCAGTCTTTTCTCTCTGTCATCACCTGAGAGTGGGGAAGGGAAGGGTCTTGAAGGGGGTTGTTCAGTTTTGTTTTAAAGGACATAGTGCCAAGTGTGTTCAAATTCACTTTTTGATAACTCTGCTTATCCTTGGTGTATTTGATACTTTATCATTTTCATTTTTATTAATTTTAAAGTGTTTATTCCATATACTTTTCCTCATCTAGTTCCTTCTTGTTCCCTTAAATAAATCTCAGGTAATTTAATATTTTGTAATAGTGATGCCAAGTGTGGCTAATGAAAACCCCAGATACTGAGTAGTGGTCCACACTGCAGGACGGTCCACCCAACTGGTGATGTCACTCAGAGACCGTATCCCAACAGAGGGGTGATCATGAGTTTGTACACCATCCTGTGCACTGACTCTTGCAGCTACCAGAAATGTTGCATGTCCAATAACATTATAGTCACTGGCCAAAGTAGAGCTGTTTGCAATTCCAAAAGAAGAAGGGAAGTGGCATAAAAAAAATTATGAAGTGTAATTCCACCTGATAATCATTTATGATATCAACAGGTTTAAAGTGCAGTGCTGAGCCCCTCAGCCTCCCTTTCCAAGCTTGAGTCCTAGCTCTCTGTCATCCTGCCTCTGCCCCACAAAACCACACTCTCCTTCTCTGTGAAACAGAGAAAATAATATGAACTTCTTAAGGTTTGTTGAGAAAACAAAGTAAAATTGTTTTATTAAAATTCTTCATGTCATATCTATGTGCACGTTAAGCACTAAATAATGGGTTTCTTTCTCTTGTTTCTTAATGTTGCTCAGTTGTGTCTGACTCTTTGCCACTCCATGGCCTGCCAGGTTCCTCTGTCGATGGAATTCTCCAGGCCAGAATACTGGAGTGGGTAGTCCTGCCCTTCTCCAGGGGATTTTCCCAACCCAGGGATCAGACCCAGTTCTCCCACATTGCAGGTGGATTCTTTACCAGCTGAGCTACCAGGGAAACCCTGATATTTTCCTAGTTTCCAGGCCCATAAATACCAACTTATGAGTTTGTATCACAGAGATTCTAGATTTGTCATCCTTGAAAATTTTAATGTATACTTTCTAATGTAGGCTCACAATAAAAATAGATTGTTTTCAAGATAGACCATTGAACATTAACTATTTCAAATTAATTTAATTTTCATTCAATTTGCCAAAGTTCCAGATAATATTGAGTAAGGTGTCTCAATTATCTTGTCTACAATTCTTTTCATTAAAATCATTGCTTCCAAGAAATCTTTCTGTTAGCCAAACATGTGAAAATGAAGATAAGGTATAGAAGTCAGATTTAGACATTTTAATTTCTTAAAATAAATGTTGGGGACTGCACTGAGCATGTGAACTTGCACACGGCTGCCCTCACCAAACTGCTGTCATTTATTGAGGAAAGTGGAATTACAAAACATTTCTCTCCCCTACACTCCTCATCCACACCCACACAACAGCAGGAGCTTGGCTGAGCTCACATAATTGACTCTTCACATCCTTTCATGGACACAAAGGGCTAACCTGGGGCTGCTTGAGCCACCAATGCTGGTTGTGGTGAGAACACCAGGGACCTTGTCATTCCCTCCTCAGGACACACAGAATGCACTGGCTGCAGTTTTATGAAGTGAAAGTGCCCAAGATAAAGAAAATGTGAAGGAGTTGACCTCAGTCACTTCTTTCCATAAAAGAGGGTGCAAAAGAATAAGCTGCTGCATCTGGATATTGAGAACAAAGCAAGCCTAAGATTTAGCCTAATGGGTTGAATCACTTCCTTTTATAGAAGCACAGAGTGGGACTGCCTTTACTTGTATCAGTAACAGTGACCCTTACATTTCATTGTATAGAGATGTCAGGGAAAGTGTGTAGAAAGCATTCCAGCCTCTGTCCCTGAGCAATGACTTTGTCATTATGAGATCTCTGTGATGTGTTGATCCCATCCTTTACCCTCTCCCTCAAATTCCCATTGGGGATGTTTAGCTTTTATATATATTTAATTCTAGTGCCTTGTGGATATTTTCTTCCAGTCTGTCTTGCCTTTTTATGTTTTTAATGGAGATCAAGTTTTAATTTTGATGTAGTATAATGTGTATCATTTATTTTTTCCTTTTGTAGTTCATGTTTTTGTATCCTAAGAAATGTTTGGGTATCCTTAGGAGGGTGAAGATACTTTCCTATTGTTCTCCCTGTTTAGAAATTGATGCATCTTGCATTAATTTTTTGTGAATGGAAGAATAGTTAGTGGTTGATGTTTATTTTTTTCCAGCTATTCTAGCCACATTCGTTAAAATTGACACTTGGTTAAAAGTCCTTTGAATCAATGTAAGGAGGTATGTGTCTGTATGCTGTACTTTGTTCCACTGATCTGTTTATCCTTGTAGCAATATTGCAGTCTTGGCTATTGTACATTTTGGTATGACACAAAACCCAGTAGTTGAAGTCCTCTAACTTTGTACTTCTTTGTCAAGATTATTTTGATCATTCTAGATTCTTTACTTTTCTGTGTAAATTTTAAAAGCCTTTCAATGGATTTTTAATCAAAGTCTGCTGGAATTTTTATTAATATTTTCTTTTAGCTGTAGATCAATTTGAGGATTCTGAGTCTTAACAATGTTGAATCTGCAATTATGGATATGGTCTTTCTCTCTGCTTATTTAGATCTTTAATTTTACAAATTTTTTTTAAAATT